TTGAGCTCTTCATTTCGAGGTAAGGATACCCTACTCCATCTTATGAGTTTTGTCATAAATTTTGGGCATTTTGATATGTTGGGGTTGTTGGGTGATTTTTGGAAAAGTTAGGGTTTGATTTGTAATTTATAGAAAATGGGGTTTTCAAAATGTTAAATCCTATGGGTGTTTGAGACTAACAATGAATTTGGGAAGTTATGGGATTGGTGTAGTTGAATAGATTAATCACTCACCTATGGAGTAAGTTGATATTATATCTATTTAATGCATTTATTTTCAGTTTAGAAATAACTGCTTTGGGCTATCGGTGGAGGATAGTCTTGATTGTTGTAGACACTGTATGTTGATTAGGGAAAACTGAAACTAATCAAATGCGTTATGTCATTGAATATGACGGATAGAATAATACAGCAAATATGTGTATTGATTGATCATTGTATCTGATAACTGTTTAAATACATTGCATATGTATATTGTTTGGGAGGAGATAGGGGATGGACTCCATTGATACAGCAAATATGTATATCATATTGAAGTGTTAATACAGCAAATATGTGTATTAAATTGAAGTATTGATACAGCAAATATGTGTATCTATTGTGAAGTGTGGAAGTGTTTTAATATGATATTGATACAGCAAATATGTGTATCTATTGTGAAGTGTGGAAGTGTTTTAATATGATATTGATACAGCAAATATGTGTATCTATTGTGAAGTGTGGAAGTGTTTTAATATGATATTGATACAGCAAATATGTGTATCTATTGTGAAGTGTGGAAGTGTTTTAATATGATATTGATACAGCAAATATGTGTATCTATTGTGAAGTGTGGAAGTGTTTTAATATGATATTGATACAGCAAATATGTGTATCTATTGTGAAGTGTGGAAGTGTTTTAATATGATATTGATACAGCAAATATGTGTATCTATTGTGAAGTGTGGAAGTGTTTTAATATGATATTGATACAGCAAATATGTGTATCTATTGTGAAGTGTGGAAGTGTTTTAATATGATATTGATACAGCAAATATGTGTATCTATTGTGAAGTGTGGAAGTGTTTTAATATGATATTGATACAGCAAATATGTGTATCTATTGTGAAGTGTGGAAGTGTTTTAATATGATATTGATACAGCAAATATGTGTATCTATTGTGAAGTGTGGAAGTGTTTTAATATGATATTGATACAGCAAATATGTGTATCTATTGTGAAGTGTGGAAGTGTTTTAATATGATATTGATACAGCAAATATGTGTATCTATTGTGAAGTGTGGAAGTGTTTTAATATGATATTGATACAGCAAATATGTGTATCTATTGTGAAGTGTGGAAGTGTTTTAATATGATATTGATACAGCAAATATGTGTATCTATTGTGAAGTGTGGAAGTGTTTTAATATGATATTGATACAGCAAATATGTGTATCTATTGTGAAGTGTGGAAGTGTTTTAATATGATATTGATACAGCAAATATGTGTATCTATTGTGAAGTGTGGAAGTGTTTTAATATGATATTGATACAGCAAATATGTGTATCTATTGTGAAATATGGAAGTGTTAGTATATGAGTTATAGCCTCATTGAATTATTTGGCCAGGTTCTAGGCCATGTATATGAAATGATACGGATAAGTAAAGGAAAATGGAATGTAACATGGACACAAGTGTCATGGAACTATATTGAGATATAACTGGTTTATAAGTGTTAACCATCTATCAAATGCTATTGTTTTAGTCATTGCTTATATTTGGTTTAGTATATCTCTACTGGGCT